TGATGAGAGAGAAAGAGAGAGAATGATTTGGAAGTTTGTAGAGAAAGAAGGAATGGTTCTTATTTAGATTCTTGCCATATTGGGTTGACCATTCAAAGTGGTAAAAAGTCAACTTCGTTAGTTTTGGATATGAAAGAATGGTATTGCGGCTCCAAGTTATCTACATGGTCAAAAGCCTACATTTTGGTCAAAATAGCACGAATGCACGTGAGAATCACGTGATGCATATTACCTAATCATTTCTCGTCCATGAGAATCACGGTTTAATTCGATACAAAGCGAAGAACCTTACCCGGGCTTGGTATGCCGCGAATCCTCTTGAAAGAGAGGGGTGCCTTCGGGAACGCAGACACAAGTGGTGCATGACTGTCGTTAGCTCGTGTCATAAGGTGTTGGGTTAAGTCCTGAGCGCAACCCTCGTGTTTAGTTGCCAACCGTTGAAGTCGGAACCCTGAGCAGACTGCCGGTGCTAAGCCGGAGAAAGGCGAGGACGACGTCAAGTCATCATGCCCCTTATGGCCTGGACAAAGGGTCGTGATCCCGCGAAAGTAAGCTAACTCCAAAAACCCGTCCTCAGTTCAGATTGTATGCTGCAACTCACCTGCATGAAGCCGGAATCGCTAGTAATCGCCCGTCAGCTATAGGACAATGAATTTGTTCCCGGGATCAAAATAATATTATCTTGACTACGACAACAATCGTACTTAATAATTTGTTCAGCTAAAATACATGCAATTAAATTAATCAAGACATGATATCGTTGATCTAAAAGTCAAAGGTTTAAATCTTTACTTATTCATCTCGTTAAATTAAACAAAATCAGTAATTAACGTGTAAACGTTGAAGTTTGAATTGTATGAAATAGTTGATATCGTGACGGTATTAAAGAAAATAAAATAAAGAAATTTATAAAAATATTCGAATTATTTTTTTGTTGTTAATATTACATTTCATTAAGGGAAGATTGGTTAGTAATGTGTTGACTAATAACATTTGACTAGGTTTTATAATGTCTTTATAATAATAATATTGGACTAGGTTTTATGTTGACTTTATTTAAATTGATATCTATTATTATTATTATTTATCAATAGGTTTTATGTTGACTTTATTGAAATTTTTATTTATTTTATTTTATTATTGTTATTATTTATTATGTTAATCTATTCCCCTTCTTTTCCCTTTAATTTCAATAAAAAATTACCAAAAAAAAAATGGTTTCCATCTATTTTCCGCTGAATTTTGGCACGTTTTTTGAATGGGACAATACCGGTGGTAAATGGCGGCGGAAAAACAGCTGACGTAATTTAGCTGCCTTATTTAACTTGCTCTCTAAATAAATAAATAAATTCATTATTTATTTTTTATTTTTTTAATTCGACGAAGAAATCAAAACCAAGTATTTCAACTTTCTTTTTTTTGTAAATTTATTTATTTATTTTTGTAGGAATCGGGAGAATTTATGAGATTGATCTAAAGTTTTCTCTATATTTATTTTAAAATAATATGAAATTCAAATAATTTTTTTTAATACATAATTAAAAATATAAAACATCGTAATATATTTAATAATATTTTATAAAAAAAAAAATATAATATAATCTTGAACATAATAAGAATGTCCAGACAAGATTTGAACGAGGATTGAGAATATAATCCTTGTTTAATAAGAATGGTCTATCTTTTTGTTTTAGAGGTGAAATTAGATAGAAAGATTATAAGAAAAATTAAAAATTAAATTAATAGTAAAAACAAAATTCGAATGTCCGAAATTTTAAAATAAGATTGATTTTATTGTTCGAGATATTAATTGGATTTGATTGGAATAAATTCGCAAAGAGAATGAGAAAGACGATGTAGGACAATTTCATGTCATTAGTCGACCCTATGGTCGGCATCTTAAGGGGGCTTGCGTTCATGGTATCCCGGTTTAAGCTGGTCTGAATCATCTTTAAACTAGTTCGTACAGAGAACGGGAAAAGTCTTAATAGGTTCTCATATAAAATACCTAGGGATATATACAAGGATCACGAACAAGTAATAATTTAAAAGATTTATAGTGGTGTATATCTGATATACTATTGATATGACCACTTTATAATTGTTACAAATGATTTGATCCAAATCGTTCGTGCGGATACATGTAAGTGGGAAAGCCTATGTAATGAGTTTGTATAAGACCATACTAAAAAAAAGTTTTATAATCTCTCTTCATAAATTTTATTAATTAAATTAATATTTTATAGAATGATGATATGTGACTCGACATTTTATAAATCCATGCTTGCGAGGGTTTGACTTTTGTTTTACTCGTGAAAATTATTTTTGTAGCTAATTCAGTATGTCTATTATTTTGAGGAGTTGACTAAATAATCAGCTGAAAATACACTCGCACAAGATAAAATTTGAGATTCCACATCGATTGGAGAGGGGAACGAAACATTCTTTATAAAGGTGTGGAAACCTCTCTCTAGAAGACACATTTTAAAACCGTGAGGTTGACAATATTACGTAATGAGCCAAAACGAACAATATCTGCTAGTAGTGAGTTTTGACTGTTACAAATGGTATTAGAGCAAAACACTAGACGATGTGCTGGCGAGGACGCTAGCCCCCATGGGAGATGGATGGTGAGATCCCATATCAGCTGAAGAGTAAAATGAACCATAAGGTTGACGGCGATACGTAACGGGCCAAAGCGGACAATATCTACTAACGATAGGCTTGGGCTTGAGCTGTTACAATATATTTCTTCCTTTACATTATAGTTGACCTAATCTAGCAATACGTAACGGGTCAAAACGGACAATATCTGCTAACAGCGGGCTTCGGTTGTTATAGTATATTTATAAAAATAACGAACTTACAATTCTTGAATTTTACTCAAAATTACCACAAGAACTCTGAATCGAAAGATCATCGAAGAAAAACTAACATACTCGAACGTGATAAAAACTAATATGAATTGAGAAAATCGTTGAATCGAACCGAGCTTGAACTAACATAAAAGTGATTAGAAAAAGAAAAAAAAAAGTTAAATGTTTATAATGTAGTAATTAAACAATAAAGCTTCATTTAAAAAAATGACTAGAAAACTTTAATGCATGGTCTAGGCTAGGGATGATTATTAGTGATTAATAACATCATTTTCTAATGTCATTAATTTCATTTATTAGGTTTATATTATGATATCATTTATTACATTTATTATGCTATTTTATCATTAAATCACGTGAAAAGTAATGTTATGATCAATTTGAGCATAACTCAACTAGTTGAGATATATGTCCATTTAAAGATCTTAAAAGTCGATAGTTCAATTTTTCACTCTAAACAAAAAGTACAGATATATACTCTCGACCAAAAGGTCAAATGTGTTTATGAAGCTCGATGTTGTCAAAGAAGAGAAAATCGACCTGACAAGAAGAGTTTCAGGTCAATTTGAGCCAAGTCAACATCAACTCGAGGAATGCTTAAGTGAGGTTCATTCCTTTCATCCAACTGACTTGGATGTCATTTAGTTGTGTTTTGTTGATGGATAAGCAAGCTTGAAGGGACGTGGAACAGACTTATTGGAAGATCGAGCAAATTATGTTGTGTAACAAGCAAGAAACAAATAAAGTTGTAGAGCATAACGGTCCAAATATCTGCCTCAAATTGAGTCAAGCCAGGCTAAGGTAGGTCAACTATATGCACACGTTACCCAATTTTGTAATAGAAATAATAGACTTTCACAATGATATGATATTATCCACTTTGAATATAAGCTCTCGGCTTAAACCATAAACGTTGAATTAGGTTAGGCTTAAACCAAAGTAAGACGAAAAAGATATATGGAGTTTGGGTTCTCCTTGAGGCTGATTGTGAGCGTGTTAAGATCACGACTCCACACAGTTGAAAAAATACGATTGTGACTCTTAATTGAACATTTGAAAATAAAAAAAAACATATATTTTACGAACTAACATTTTACTTTTATTAAATGGAAAATTTGATTTAAGAACAGTTAAAAAAAAAGTCCTAACATGATATAACTAACTTACTAATATCCCTATTTATTACACATAAAAAGAAAAATCTAAATATTTATCCGATTTTGTAATAAAATAAAAATTATCAATATAAAAGAAGAAAATAAAAAATAAAGTAAAATAATAATATATATATATTAGGGTGTAAAATAAACCCAAAAAAAAAAAAAAAAAAAAAA